ATACGGTTTTGTTTAATCATAACAACCTGATGATCGCAAAACTCTGCTGTAGATAGAAATTCGAAACTTTAATGGACATTTTTCATTTGCGCTCATGAATCAGCGTTCCCGATATTCAGGTGGTTGTTATATTACACTTGTCTTAGAATTAAGTCCTTATTTTAATGCCTGACAAAACTGGAAAATATTTTAAATATGTTTAAGTGTGCAATATCATTGGCAAAAAAAAAACTCGGGTGTGCACTTGCCGTACTCTGCAGTCTGGCCCCCATCTAGACCCTCTCTAACCATTGTGTTTAAGTGCAGAGGAGAGTGGCGGAATCTCAATGCCAGTGTTTACAGTAGTGGGCAAAATCATCTCAATTGTGGAATATAGCAAAGATATCACAGGTCAGCTCTACGTTTCTACATTCAAGTATTAATTTCTCAGATAGTTCAGACACAAGTCACAGCAGCTTATTGTAGAATCAAATACTAATTTCTAACAATAATAATTGCCACAAGAAAAGTAGATACTGTCCATTTAAACATTTGAAACATCTATAAAATACCTGTCTGCTAGAAGCACTCATTTCTGCATGTAGTACGCTACATTCTCTTGCTCAATATAAACACATTTCTAAAAGAAAAATACACAAATTTTGGCATAAAATAATACTTAGTAAGCTACAAATGAGATACATCAAACTGGAGTTCGTTTTCACAAACTTACACGGGTAAATTTTGATTGAAAAAAAAATATGAAAACTATAAACAGTTTTACTGAAGATGAAGTGTTTATAATTGTGTAACATGAAGTATTACCCATTCCCAGTCATCATCGCCATCACCATGACAACGGCATGAATGCATGATATGCTAAATCGAGATTTCGCTGGCATCTCGCTCGATTCAATAAAAGTTTCCACAAGCAGGTTAATGCAGGAAACAATAAACAAATACAGTAAGAAAAACAAAAGTTATGTTTTCAAATTTCGTGCGCCACTCTGGTCTGGGTATGACTGCTGACATTGTTTTTTAAATTGGAAATTGTCATTTAATTTGCAAATGACAATAAATTTTTATTACCCAACCCTCGAGTCGTTTTGCTTTTCATTCACTCAACCTTCTACTCACTCAAAAATATCTTACCCAACCCTTTTCTCTTCGGTCCCCCCCCCCTAACCACCACCACCATAGATAATGACCCATCCCCTATGGGTAAATGAAACAGGCAATACAATACCTGTATGCGATTGATACGGGATTGCATTGATTTACTAAAAAGAGAGAAACTTTATTATACCTGGCCGCCTTGAACTCAAAGAGTATAAATAGTTAATATGTTTTGTTTGAACTATACTTGTGGTCTGGGGTAATGCGTTTTTATATCAATATCATGCAAACGAGTCGGTATGTTTTTCAGTTGTTGTGTGCCCTCTTTGAACGAGGAGCTCTGTCTTGTCGGTAGAAAATAATACACGTATTCGGTAAAGGTCTGAAAGGTGAGTGTTTCATCCTCAAAATATCCAGTAAAAACCAGCATAAACAGCTATTAGTTTTGTCGACAAGCTGGAGCGGTTCTTGTATCATTTGAAGAGATTTGTAATGGAAATTTCGAGTGAATTTTATACATTTCTAATAGACAACTTGCATGTTATAGACTATAATTTTTGATTTAGGCAAAAAAAGTAAATTCCCGTAAAGAACTTATTAAAATCAGTAAAATTGCAAAATTTGGTTACGAAATGTAGCCTTGCGAAGTTTGCATATTTTCAGTATGTTTGTATTACGTGCGGAAATTGTTACCATTTTTAAGCCGAAAATGGTAACAATTCCCGCACGTAATACAAATATACTGAAAATATGCAAACTTCGCAAGGCTACATTTTCTGTATTTTACAACATTTTGTAACCAAATTTTGCAATTTTACTGATTTCATTATTTTCTTTTTAACTGTTGTATTTAATTCCCTTCTCTTTACTTAGATTAAAATTGAGTCTAACATGCAAGTTGTCCATTAGACCTAACTGGGAGCAGCTGTGAAAAATGCAACTACAGACCCTCTATAAAAACATTTTCATTTGAGTTTACTGTAGGAAATATTTTCATGACAATTTCAAACAGGTTGACTTAGTAACGAGAGACCGTAGTGGAATTGTATTTTAAGACTTACAAAATTTGGCTATAGTTTTGTTTTTAGCTATTTATGTACCATTTAAAAAACGAGCAGGAGTGTTTTATTAGGTTTAAAGGTTAAAACACGACCTAGGAGTTTTTTAAATGGCTTCAAAAACGTTTGCATAATAAGTCAAATCTTTATATAAAAATCTTTATATAGTTTGCATAACAATGGTCTTTTGTTAAAGTGTTCTTTAGCTGGTATAAAGACGTATGCACGTGACTAATTTCTTACTCAAGATTGGATAATTGCTTCATGAATTATTAATGAGTTCTTGAATTCACTTTATTTAATTCTAGATAATATTTTGTCACGATGCAAGTCGGTCAAGAGCAAGCGGAGAAAATTCTCTTCATTTTTTCAATCGCTCTAATCATGTACGCACAAAGTTCCGCGGACACCAGCAGTTGCGGTGAAAAATTTTCAACAAGAATGGATCAAGATGTCTTTAGTAAACACAGATTGAGGTCACGTGTTATCGAGAGCCAGCCAATCAGCAGACCGCTTGAATGTTACGTCAAGTGTATGAAGAACTGTCGATGTCTTTCTTACAATGTTTGTAATCGCGGCAAATTGTGTGAACTGAATTCAGAGAAAAAAGACAACAATATTTCTCTCTTTGAAGCCAGTGATGAATGTGATTATCATCAATACGAACTTAGCAAATAGGTAGAGTATAACACTTTATGGTGGCTCACATTCAAGAACATGTACTACCTCTGCATGATCTATAATATGCTTAACTCAGCAGTGATCACTTTAAGGTAGCTCACATTCAACAACATGTACTACCTCTGCATGATCTAACCATGCTTAACTCAGCAGTGAGTTCTGTATAACATCAGATCACTTTAAGGTAGCTCACATTCTATAAACCATGCTTAACTGTGTGAAGATGACGATGGTTGTGATGCGAATAATGATCGTGATGATGATAATCATGATTCATGACGATGGTTTTGATGGTGATAATGAGTGATGGTGGTGGTGGTGTGATGATCGTGATGATAATCACAATGGTTTTAATGATGATGGTAATGATAATGGCAGTAGAAACTAGAAGTTATCTTTCATCGACAGGATCCAAGTGGTGGCTGTCAAGTATTTCGGCTACTACACGTGCTACAGTACAAGTTTTAGTTGCTCTGTCAATAAGGCCGCAACGACGCAGTTGTGGTTCTCAGACTAAAGCTACGGATTACAGTGTTACAAAAAATGTATGCATTTTAACCGACACATCTATTTTAAGAACTGTATATTTCAAATCTATTTTGATTCATCTTCAGCAGTATCTTTACAAGATTTATAATACACTCGATAATACAGCAGTGTTGTATGATACAGCAAGTATAATGATACAAGATGTATGACACAGCAGTATCTTTACAGTGTAGTTAGTGTTACACCATGGATAATAAAATATTTTATTATCCATGGTTACACTATGCAGGTTGTCTCGCAACTTGTCTCCCACACGAAATTGCAAGGTGTCTCTCAACTCCGCAGAGATACATTTCACTACACTTTACATGGCGGATCTTGGAACACGAGCGTAGCCGCTGGGCGAAGGAGCGCAGGCGGCAGGTGTAACATGCCTCGAAAATTCATAAAGTCTCGCAACATTTTTGTTGCAACAAGCATTATTGGCCGATTGCATTTATTTTCCGCACAGGGGGTTGAGGATATTCCCTCCCCCCCTGGAATTCAGTTTATTTACCCCTTCTCCTGGAATTTCCCAGGGATTTCTATGATTTCCTTGCCAGATGAGTACCCTCGAAAATATATATAATTACAGAATTTTGGGCATCCCACTCCATAGAACTAAATGTAGAAGGATTTTGTAGATGTGAAATTTATACATTTATAATCACAGATCCTCCCCTGGATTTTGGGCTTTTAGAGTTTTAGCCAATCCTCCCCATGGATTTTCTATCCCCCCCCCCCGTGTGCAGATAATGCAATCTGCCATATATGTCGTAAAATTCTTATTGAAGGGATTGGTGGATTGGCCAGTTGAGGCAGGGGGGGTATGCAGTATGAGCCCACCGTTAAGCATTTCTTTGTCAGCACCTTAATTACTTATACAATTCATTTACTTCATGTATTTAAGAATATAAGTCACACTTAGTAAAATTCAATATGGTGGCCAAAGGAGTCTCTTGTTGAACAATGGTTTGTTTTGACTAAAATATAAACTAATCCGGAAAGAATAAAGTATTAAAAGATGGGGAAATTAAACGTTGCGATCCTACGATATTTATCGTCTGAAGATTTTAGAGTGTTGACTGCTGTAAGTGTATGTTAATAAATATACGTATTAATATGTCATGTTTGGTGACTTTGGTGAAGTATTGAAATTTATTACGAAGTGACCAGCTGGCAGCCGGCTATTTAAAAAAACTGCCGGCTATATAGTGACTATAGTTAAAATATACTAAACCTTACCCTATAAACGGATAAACCAGTAAAATGTCTAATAAACAATTTAAGAGTTAAAACTTAAAACAAGTCGGGAAGTTTTATAGGAAGTGGACAGTGGTTTATATTTGTCCAGTTATGGGAACCAACAAGCTTTGGCTATTTGTCTGGCACAACTATTTTCTTCGTTCTGTCAGCATGCTAAAATAACATCAACTAAATGCCTAAATATCATTAATTTTCAAGAAAATCCTTGGTAGCCGAGTGGTTATAACTCGCCATATATCAAATATGTGAGCTCTGTGGATCGACCTGCAAGCAGGTGGCCTGATCAGTTAGCGTTTAGAGGTTAATAGGGAAGGGGTTAGGTGCGGGTAAGGTTTTGGTTTCATTGTGTGAAACAACTGCTGGCCATTTAAACGAACCAATCAAATTAACTCACAGACAAATAGCCAACGATAATTGGTTTCTGTGACAGGACAAATAACCACATTGTTTACAAAATAGCTGGCAGCCAGCTATATCTGTGGTCACTTAGAATTTATAAATATCAATTTAATATTATTAATACAATAAACTTAAAACTGTGTGTTTAATTGAGTGTAGAAATGTTTGCAAAATAATTGAATGCTCCTTTTGGAGTTACAGTCCTGAATATAAAACACGTTATTAGGATATTTGCTATGTTGGTGTAGTGTACTCAGGTGAATAAGATGCTTGTGATGTTACTCTGAGTGTATATCCACACCGGTTAGGTTGAGATGGGTATGAAGAACCATGAAGTTGTTCCAACACCATTGTTGGCCTCCATTGCAAACTTAAAACATGGCGGATGTCACAAAATCACCCGAGAGCTGGTCAAACATAAACTGCTGGCTTACGAGAAGGGAAAAGCCTGTGAGTAGTGTGTGCTCACTTTGAGAACATAATCTTTTTCTAGTTTGTATATTATCAATTACCGTACTATCAATTGCTCCCTAATGCAACTTACTTTATTATTTCACTTGGTCTACTTGTCAAGGGGAAAGTGGCAGACTGTGCTGGCATTCAATGGGTTAATACAAGTGAAAATGTGTCTTATACATGTTATTGAAATGGTTATAGATGAAGGTTACAAACTGACATTTGGTGGCTACGACTATCTAGCATTAAAAGCACTTACAAATAGAAACATAATTCATTCAGTGGGAAACCAAATTGGAGTAGGCAAAGAGTCTGGTATGTTTTGTACATGTGTTCACCATTGGGTCATTCCAGAAAACATCCATATCTCCCCCACAGAGGAAATTGGAATGTCCTAATACACTTGCTATTAGCACTTGCTATTATCAGAAACAAATTTTTCTCCCAGAAATTCCCTCCTTGGGGCGAGTGTGGATCTTTTCTGGAACAACCCATTATACAGATTATCTCACTGTTGAAACACATATTTGATAATTTCCTTAATGTAACCTTGCAAACTATTTTCTACTGTATACTAGATATTTATATTGTTGCCAATGAAGATGGGAAACAATTTGCGTTAAAGTTGCATCGGTAAGAACAATACTGTACTGGATAGAGTTGTTGCATATAGAAAAGTTAGTTTAGGTTGCATAACTTGCATTGTGTAGTAACATTGGATCAATAAGAGATGGCTCTTACTGGATCTCTAGGAAGAACAGTTTAGAACTGATGGACCTATGTGACTTAGTTAGTGTAGTTCTATAGTTATCAAGTAGCTTTGAATATTTTATACAATGTGTCTTTATGTTTTACAGCCTAGGTAGGACATCTTTCCGAAAGCTGAAAGAAAAGCGTGATTATTTAAAACATCGAAAGAATTATTCCTGGCTATATCTATCCAGACTGGCCGCTATAAAAGAGTTTGCTTATATGAAGGTGATTCAGCTCATTTGTTCAGCTCTAATAACTGGACAACATTAGTTTTGTAAAAACCAAAATTATTATGTATGTATTTGAATTTCAGGCTCTTCATGACATTGGCTATCCTGTACCAAAACCTGCAGATTTCAACCGTCATTGTGTTGTGATGGAGCTAGTCAATGGCACTCCATTGTAAGAATTGCATTCCTGTATAGTTGAACCTCTCTTTCCATACACCTCTCTAATAGACACACCCCTCTAATGGCCACACCTCTTTAATAGACACACCTCTTTAATAGACATACTGTACCTCTCTAACAGACACACCTCTCTAATGGACACACATCTCTAATAGACACACCTCTCTAATAGACACACCTTTCTAATGGCCACACCTCTCTAATAGACACACTTCTCTAATGGACACACCTCTCTAATAGACACACCTCTCTAATAGACACACCCCTCTAATAGACACACCCCTCTAATACACCCCCCCTCTAATAGACACACCTCTCTAATAGACACACCTCTCTAATAGACACACCTCTCTAATGGACACACCTCTCTAATAGACACACCTCTTTAATAGACCAAATTTTCTAATGACCAAACTTTCTAATAGGCCCACCCATGTGACAAACGCACCTCTCTGATGACCGAATTGTCTAACAAACACATCCTCTAATTTCAATACCTCTTTAAGATGGACACCTCTCTATGGATAGTTTCTTATGTCCAAAATTCCAACATATTGTCTTTCAAAGTCATAAAACTCTAAGACGGACAAATTGTCATAACCCAGCCATTGTCTTAATATTCTCAATTCGTATTTTACTTTGTTAGATGTCAGGTGCAAAGCCTAGATGAGCCTGGTTCTATTTACAATGAATTAATGGAGCTTATAGTTCAACTAGGAAGCTACGGTCTTATTCATTGTGATTTTAACGAATTCAATATTATGATCAGCGATACTCGAAAAATTACCATCATTGATTTTCCGCAAATGGTCTCAATTTCACATATCAATGCTCAATGGTATGAGCATATTTTCATATATTACCTAATGATTAAAGACACAGTTCAGCCTTTTGAATGATGGTTTTTAAGGCGCATTTCAGCCCTCTTAATTGAAAAAAACTAACTAGGAAGATCAATGAAGCATACTCCAAGATCAGCAAACTTAATGTTTTTAACATTTTAAAACTTTTTTATTGTTAAAAACATTGAGTTCACTGATCTTGAATTACGTACAATTGATTTTCCTAGTTAGTTTTTTCAATTAAAAGGGCTGAAATGCGCCTTAAAAACCATCATTCAAAGAAGCCATTGCTTTTTGTTTCCAGGTATTTTGATCGTGACGTACAATGTATAACGACATTTTTTCGCAGACGATTTGACTACGAAAGTGAACTCTATCCAAAGTTTAGCGATGTTAAGTACGTTTATCATTGAAGTGTTTCCTGGTTTCACGCAAATACTGTAGTGCATATTACATATTTGTATTCTTGCCGTTTCTAGACGGTTACACAACTTAGATGTGGATATCGCAGTCAGTGGATTTAGCAAGGGACAGAAGGATGAACTGCACGAGGTAACGTCTTTTAAAGCTGCGAGATTTTCCTAAAGAATGTGATGTTATACAGAACTCGCTGCATTTAATAGTAAAGCATGGTTAGATCATGCAAAACAGTACATGTTCTTGAACGTGGGCTATCCTGAGGGGATCTGATGTTGTACAGAACTCACAGCGATCTTGTTTCTCATTTTTTTTAATTTCACTAGTCCGTGGATCAGTTTGAAAGTCTTTGTGAGATTGAGGAGAACGAAGTCGAAAACAATAACGACGAAATATCATCAGATGAAGACAATGTAGAGCATTCAAGCGACAATGAAGAACATACAGACACCTCCACTGGAAATTACATGGATGAGAATCTGGACCAACTTGCAACAAAAGGTAGATGAGCTTTGAAGGTAGAAATTATCATACAAGCAGTCAGAGCAATGATTGATTGGATAGCAAGGAGAACAGTGGGGTTTTCAAAACAATGAAAAGACAATAGAAAATTCTGATCACTGGATCATGACTGCCTGGCACTATTGTTGTGCTAAGTGTTATGCAAAAGGTCATTATTACATATTTCGTTTCCAGGTGAGAATTCGGACACAGCAAGCGAAGAATCAGATTTAGAAGACCTGAGCCAACAGAATCAGACGTACCAACCTTACAGAGACGAGAACCCAGACCCCCAGACCTCGGAGGAGAAACATCACCACCAGGAAACTGGGGCCAACACTATGGAACCGGAAGTAATAAGAAAGAAAGTGAAGCAGTCATTGGCTAAGAAACAACAGAAGGCACGAAGGACGAAACGTGGTGAGGCGGGTGTAGTGACCCGCAAGCGAAGAGAGAATCGCAGTGCTATTAAACAAAGTAATGATGGTATTTGGTAATATGGAAAAAATATTTTAAGCGCAAAAAATATCCATTTTCAAACATGTAAATTTGTGTAGATTAGCCATCAAACACTGGTAAATGAGGTGTTATAGTAAGCGAATTTCGGAAGCATGTCCGTTTGTCATTCAAGTCACTCCCAGGTCATTTAAATCCTTGGCTACCTTTAGTTCATTCTAATCAGCGAATGCATGTTAATGTCCGTTTCCTCACAAATATAATTTAAATGCTTGGTTATCTTTGTTCCATTCTATGTTTACATTATCAGAACAGAGGTGACTAGGCATGCGAATTGAATTAGTCAATTGTAAAGAATGCAGAAACGTGCTGGTTTGTTTTTCGTATTTCGCGACGGTATGACGCATTCGAGTATCGCTGCTGCATAATACAAGGAAAGGATTATATAAATACCAAACAAATTACTAATGCTCAATAAAAAACTTTACTTACCATTTTCCAACACGAGATGTATTCTGCGTCTTCCAATCTGCTCCGAACTATTTCGCCTAATGAAAATGAACGTTTAAAATACAATTGATACTTACTGTCTTATCCAAAGAAGCCACCACCAATGCCTTAGTCTCGAGAAAGGATTAGAGAGCTTTAGATACGACTTCCACTACCGCTACCACAAAGGGGCCATTAACCAATCAGATGCGTTTAATGTACCCGATTAACCAATCAGATGTGTTTAATGTACCCGATTAACCAATCAGATGCGTTTAATGTACCCGATTAACCAATCAGACGCGTACTAAGCCAGTGAGAGGTAGTGGTAGTGGAAGTCAAATCTGAACCTCTCTAATATTTGCAGTTTGACTCTACCACTACCACTCTGCAGGTACTCCATTTCCTGCTGTAATAACAACACTGGACCGATAAAGCCTGCGCTATCATTGTTTACAGCTGTTGATGCATACATTTTTTGTGAATTATTTGGTTGAACTGCTAAATAACCTGCCGACATAGCGCAAGTATATGTAGGGATTATCCTCACCGAACCTTTAGGGATAGCTATTTAGGATGAATAAAGTTTGCATCACCTTGGCTTTAGAGCCTCGTTTTCGTGTTTGAGACGTTGCACGAAAACGAGGCTCCATAGCCAAAGTGACATACTTTTACGTATTACTGTCGATGCAATAGAAGTGTTGATAAAATATTGCATCAATTCATTTCCTCAAGTTGATCAATTCATACGAATTCAAATTTCTTTTTACTTCCTGTACGTTTCCTATTGGTCTATCGGTTCTGTAACGAAATCTAATTGGCTCATCTAGACTAACAGGAAGTTGATCAATTTTCCATCAAATGAATTGATCAACTTGAGGAACGGAATTGGTGCAATATTTTATCAACACTTCTATTGCATCGACAGTAAATGATAGTTTGACAAAATAATGTCTTGCCATTAGCATGTATATACAAGTTTGTATATTGTATAATTCTACAATTGGAAGTATTAAAATGTACATGAGATATAGTACATCTACGTGTTTATTTACACAGGAATTATTTAAGAACTAGAAGACTGGAGAATTTAGAATAAATAGACGGTCCTCTTCGTTCTGCAAAGAAGCAAAAAGGTTGCCATTAGAAATTTGCTCTCTTTGAAGAAAGAAAGTAGCTTAGTCCAACTAACAGAATACATTTGTAACTAAGAAACTATAGCTTGAGCCTAGTAAACTAAGCAATGCGAGATAAATGTCTTACCGTTATCCATTTAAGAAGTCTATTGATAGCGTTTATTGCTATTGGTTTCGTCACAAGCGGGTTAAATGTCGCATATAGTTCAAATCCAGAGGTCACCTGCAGTAAGAAAGGAATATTTTCCATTATTTAGAACCAAGAAAAATGCTACTATACGCTTCCATTGGGAAACTTGAATGTGAGCTACCTTAAAGTGATCTGATGTTGTACAGAACTCACTGCTGAGTTAAGCATGGTTAGATCATGCAGAGGTAGTACATGTTCTTGAATGTGAGCTACCCTAAAGTGATCTTGTACAGAACTCATGTGTATAGCATTAACACATAGCGTCCTTACCCATCCCAAGAGCATCTCTTTAGATCCAACATGACAGAGAATTTTTAAAGGTTGACCAGACGAATGAATGTGATGGTGTAAATATAGATAGAGATCAAATAACCTGAAATAATAATAACAAAATCAATAATAAAATGAAAAGGTCACGCATAAAACGTACAAATGACTAAAATATCAAAAGTGCAAAAAGATGGATGACCCACTGACCTTTCCTCCTCTTCTGGATTGTTATAAGGTGCCTCCAGTTCTGGCGACGTATATTGTGACGTACTTCGAGATTTGTACACAAAATGTAACAAATTAGGAATTCCAACATCACCTAATTGTACAAAGCAAAGCGTGTTTGTCTAAAAAGGTCTATAAAGTATTGTACGTTGTTCCATGTCTGCTTACCTATTCTATAACTTTCATTTCCTAAAGCTTCATTGATGGCTTGAAAACATTTGTATTTCTTTAATTTCTGCAAGAAAATCAATCACAATGCATGGGTTTAGAGCAGGATTAGATCATTGAGGATTCAGTAAGTGTTGCGGTATATAGCATTCAAAATATCTTTTCTGATTGTTTCTTACCTCTAAAACTTTGTATCTACATTCTGAGAGAATGAAGAAAGCATCGCTGACTGTGGTCAACAGCAGTAAACATGCTGGGCAGTCATCACTGAGGTACGAGACGTGAGCATATAGGTAGCCACTATATACGATCACAAACATATACAATTAGCCATTCAAACAGGAATTCATACGGTTAGCTGTGTCCGAGTTTGTCCAAGTTTATGCATGCCAGAGTTGTTAACAAGTCTTAGTTTGCAAGTCCAATTAGTGAAGTCAGTTGGTCCGAATCCAAGTTATTCACACCAGTAGCAAGTCAAGTCACCAGTCATTTTGTCTGTGACCAAGTTAAGTCGAAAGTCATGCTGTACAGTTCTTTTCACCATAAATTAAGGATGGCGCCACCAAATGACAATTTTATATTCATATACTAGGCTTACACATCTTACCTATTGTCAAATCTTGGCAGACATATTGGTGTCCAGGACTCCGCGGTTTGGAATGATGTCGAACCATTTACCAAATTTAATATTAGATGTAAATCTAAAATGATTCCGTGTCATAATAATTAATGCATGTCCATCCAATAAACTTATCATGCCCCTTACTTAGAACAGTTTAATTCACGATTCTCACCTCCTGGATGTAAACTATAACTTTTTGGACGAACTAACGTGATTAATTGATTTTTTGCTATTAACACAGCAAACACTAGTTCCTAAGAAGACAAAAGAATCAAATATTACAAATGGCAGCTATGTCCATTAGCCATTCTGAAGTTGATGAGTGGACTGGAGACGAGTGTTAAAAGTGCCCAAATTAAGAAATGAACCAAATCACTAAAAAGACCACCTTAAAATTAGTAAGTATACAAAGTTTGAAGACGTTTACATGAATACTCTTCGAATAATCTTTCGAAAATCGTGAAATTACTGATTAATGCGTTCCCCAAAACAAAAATTACAGTACATTTCACAGTAAATATTTTCGAAAGCTTATTATTCGAATGGAATTCATGTAAACGTCTTCAAACTTTGTATATTTACTAATTTTAAGGTGGTCTTTGTAGTGATTTGGTTCATTTCTTAATTTGGGCACTTATTAACACTCGTTCCCAGTCCTCTCATCAACTTTGGAATGGCTAATTATCCATATATGAACGGTTTGTGCCAGTTAGTGTAGGCAGTGGCAATATATAAGAAAGCTTCGGATGGATAGGAATGCATTTTGAGCGAAGGCCCTTCGTTGGGAAAGTTCGTAGCGAACCCGATGAAGGATGATACTTTCTGTGTTGGTGTAGTGTACTCAGGTGAATAAGGTGCTTGTGATGTTACTCTGAGTGTGTATCCACACCAGGCAGGCTTGAAAAATATGCCTGGCCACGGTGGGATTCGAACCTACGACCTTTGGAATACTAGCCCAATGCTCTGCCAACTGAGCTACGCGGTCAGGTCGGTTCGACCAACTGAGCTACGCGGTCATGTCGAAGTTCTCCTTGTATTTTTCAGGTAGTTGTATCAATCAGGGCTTTCATATATACTAAAGGTTATCTAACCTGAACTTTAGCTTGTACAAAGCTTTGCCCTATTATATCTCTTATTGAACTCTTCAAAGGGAGACATCGTACCTATAAGAAATGAAATGTTGATCTAGGCAAATGATACTATATGATGGTACTAGTCTGAATCTGTGTGGACATTTTGCATACTCACCGCTCCTAACAAAACACTAGGTTCATGATCCATTAGATTTAATAAACTATCTATAAATTTTTCCGTCCCTAAAAACAAAATAAATATTGTCAAATTGTTCTAGTAAAGGCTCTTACGGGTTATATCTTAGAGGTGTCAGGTGTTCGTTTATAGGGTTTGTTTGAGAAGGAAAGATTTTATGTCTAACATTGGAAACTGTCCGATGTCTGTATTAGAGAGGTGTCTGTATTAGAGAGATGTCTGTATTAGAGAGGCATCTGTATTAGAGAGATGTCTGTATTAGAGAGGTGTCTGTATTAGAGAGGTGTCTGTATTAGAGAGGCATCTGTATTAGAGAGATGTCTGTATTAGAGAGATGTCTGTATTAGAGAGGTGTCTGTATTAGAGAGGCATCTGTATTAGAGAGATGTCTGTATTAGAGAGGCATCTGTATTAGAGAGGTGTCTGTATTAGAGAGATGTCTGTATTAGAGAGGCATCTGTATTAGAGAGGCGTCTGTATTAGAGAGGCATCTGTATTAGAGAGATGACAGTATTAGAGGGGTGTCTATATTAGAGAGGTCAATATTTAAAGCTAAAATAGTTGATAGTGTACAATGCCTAACGTGTACACACCTCCCAATAATCGTCTTAAATCATAATTTCCTCTTTGATTCATTATTCGTTCTAACTGTCTGAGTGTCAGCACGCTTAGGATTTGATTGTACACATGTGTCAGCTGCACAGCCATCTAACACATAAAAATGAAATGATTGAGGATTAAAGTTTGAGAATTCAGACATCAGTTCAACTACACTAACATTATTTATAAAGGACAGTTCTATTGTGGTATTAGTTTATAAAACGATCTCCCTAGTGGGCAAGTAAAGCATACTATTATTGCTCCAGTGTTTGCTACAGAAGGAAACCTAAACTAAACTAGCTTTATTTGGAAGGGTTTGTCAGTTCTATACTCTTCTTTCTAGCACCTTTATTGGTCCAGTGTTACTATACAGAAGGAAGCCTAAACCAAATTAGTATTGAATACATTTTATTTAAGGTTTGCCAAATCCTTTATTGGTCGGCCAGTATTAATATGAAGTGCAGACAGGATTACCAGGATTACCTGTGCTTCCGATTCTTTGGCATACGAGATTGCGACCAATATCAGATGCCCTTTCACAAGAAATACAAACTTATGATCTCCAGCAACAATTGCCCTACACAAAAACACAATTTTCAAATGAATATTATTGCTAATTTACAACTTTACTTACAAGCACTCTCACAAAATGTACATCTCTATGCATAATAATTAGCTTGTCAACTAACCTTAAATGGTTCTTGTCATCCTCAACAAAAGAGACTAATGCCTGCATCACTCCTGTGAGAGTCGATAGCTTGTCTTCATTGCCATATCTGAATCAAAACAAAAAAATGAACAAGCATTTAATGGATCGTAACAGGACACACATGCATTAGATGACTTAAAGTCTTAAATGTACCTAGAATAAATTGGTTTTCCAGCGCTGCTCAGAACAAAGATATGTTTCTTATGTTTGATCCAATCTGGGTGATTGACATCTAGTCAAGATACAAACACAACAATAGTCACATATGTTTCTTAATATGTTTAAAAAATTACCATACTGAAAATTGCTGTGAGTACCTTCGTCACAATGTTCACGAGTGTTTCTGGCATTTCCTCCAGACGACTCCTTTTCTGTTGCAACTTCTGTTCATGCAAAACAAATAATTTCATGGAATTAAAAGATAAGACAAAAACAGAAAAACCACAGCACCAACAACAAAAACAGCCATTACAGTACCTTTCTGTTCAACAGGATCTTGTTTCTGATCTTCAATATGTAAATTTTCAAAAAGAACTTCAATCCCTTCTTCAACTGTTTCTGAAATCTTTCTTTCGCTGTCAAATACGATCAAATGACATAAATTTAACAAAGTTGTTATTTGTCTGGTCATGGAAACCAACAAGCTTTGGCTATATGGTTTGTAATCAGGGAAAGTTTTATTCAGAGGTTTCATAGAACTTTCGTAAGTGTTAAACAGCATGTCTATTATAAAGGTTCTATTGTTTCACAATCAGTTACCTTGTGTCATTTAAGCTTGTTCTAGGTTCTTCTTTTTCGTCAATCACAACAAACTCATCCCCAGGACTTTCACCTCCCCACAGAGTTGCTAAACGGCCCAAACTACTGCTGGTTGTTAATGCCCTGCTCTCTTCATAAACGTCATCAAAGTCATTTTGCTTGTCCGCTTCAAACAATTGGCTGTGGTTGAAACAATATTTCAATAAGATGGATGCGGGCATGTGCCGCAAAGGTCCACATATTCACTGCTTGTACGCAGGGACGTAGCAACAGTCCCCACCCCCTCAGTCCCCACCCCCTCCCCCCGTGACAAAG